GATCTCAGTGTAATCTGACTGGTTTCGCACGTCGTTGATGATAGTATCTCTGAAGGGCTTCTCGTAAGTGCAGATTTGCACTACTTGTGGTTAGCTACTGCAGGGTGCAGGTTCAGGGCGTCTTACTTGTGTTGGCGATGACGTTTCTGTGTGAGATCATGACACCTTTCTGTAGAGGATGTCAGTGTGAACTTGCGCGTACACGAAGTTGTTCGTTACTTACGGGTAGACCAGAGGTACCACTGGAATAGCAGAGGAACGCCGTTCGCAGAGCACCATCGCCCTTCTCCCAATTTAACTTTGGCAGACGATCAAGCTTCTGGCCCTCACGAATGAGGTCGTCCACTGTCTTGAGCCCTTGCGGTGTTTTCTTTCCAGCAAACGATTCCGGCACTTCCAGTATGTAGATGCGATTCTCGGGGATGCCACTCTTCTTCGCAGCTTGTCGTGCAGTTTCCAGTAGGGGAACGCAGGTGAAGAGGGCTTTTGCGCCGGAGTTCTTCAATTGGTACTCGAGTTCGGCGGCGCTGTATGCGGCATTGGCGGGGGATTGGATGCCGCCCAAACGATGCGTGGCCCATGCCAATGGGAGCGTATCGATCTGCCGGGTGTCAGTATCCTCGTGGATGTATCAATCAAAATATTCTTACCGTGTTGACGGAGAAGACAGCGATTACTTTGTCCCACTCGGTTGCCTCGTTTGGATGGAAGCCGAGCTCCTTTGACAGACCCCGGGCAAGATAATCAACACGGTCGCGCATGTCCAGGCATGTGTAGGCCTTCCCAGTCAGTCCGCAGATGAAGGGTTTATTCGAGTAGCCAAGTGGATGACGGCCATAATGCTCATCTAGCATAAAGTCGCAGATGGGAATCGAATCTGGCGGGTCGAAGGGAAGCTGCGGCACCCATGAAGGAGGATGGAAAGGCATATTGGATCGTGTCTAACAGTACGTCAGCTATGCGCGGAGCTTTGAGAAAGATGCAGGTGCGCACATGTGGTAAGCCGCGAATTGGCGATGCAGGTAGAGATTAAAGGAGGAATCATCGCTCCAGCTTTAACGCATGCGCCCATCTTCCTCAATGACGTTAGTATCGTCGGATGCCGTCTCTTTCGCAGCCGACAGCTTATGCCAGCCCCCAATTGTGGGGAAAGCTGGGGTAGTACCGAGGTCATGGACTAATGAGGCTAATCCGTCCTTAAATTCGGCCTTGGGTCGGCGACAGCAAAACACGACTCAGGATACTGACACAAGCACCCAGAATGTAAAGTTGCATACTTGCGATCAAATATTTTCCAGAGGTGTGAGGTTCATCACACCTTTCAGCTATGGTTATAGGGTGCGCTTGAAGGTGCTGTTATGGAGTATGGTACGAGACAGCAAGAGCGACTCCCAATGACGTCTCGCGACCCGAAGACAGCCCTCTTCACTTCCATAACCTAACACGTTTGCTCACTCCCATCATGTCGCTCATGTGAGAGAGGCACGGCAGGTCTCAGCGTTTCCTTATCGCTGTCTTCTAATTGTCGCACAAGCTTAATTGAGGTTTTATTGTCCGCATGACAGACATGACACCACCCTTTTCACTACTTCTGATTTCACTCCGTTGTTTCTAGACTCACTTTGTCTTTCTCGTCCCTTTAACTATCGCTTGTAAGCAATCGAGACTTCTTCTATCAACCTGCAACTACCGTTCTTACTCATCTCGCCATGGCATCCTCGAAGCGCAAGTTTGATGACGGCGACTCCGACTGGGAGGTTACACAAGTAGTGAAACCGTCCAAATTCACTGCGCAAACAGCGGCAGCCGAACTGCAAGAAGATCGCGGTAACTATGAAAGTATGGCTTCTCAGCGCCCCACGCGAGAAAGGAAACGCCCAGAAAGGTTCGCCGATCAATTGTATCAACCTGTCTCCAAGAAGAAAGAGACGCCAAAACGAGTCACGAAACTGCTGATAAAACCTCCTTCGAAACGATCATTGGCTACGAAGAATTCTACAAGCCGGCGATCGTGGGTTGAGCCTCATGCGGTAACTGATACTGTCGTTAACATTGTCGATGACTCGCCGGGACTACCAGGAAGGTTGTCCAAGATAGTCCGCCTTAAGATTCCGCTTCCAGGCTCGACACTCGCTATACCTACAAATCAACCGAGGCAACAATATAGCGACGAGTCCGAGAGTGAGCTGTCGTCCCCACCAGCATCGTTGCCCTCGAGTCCTGTTTGTAGAGCTAACCCAAGTTCCTAGCGGTAAAACTAACATGCAAACAGGTCTTTTCCTACAAGAATATACAGAACTCGCCTCCGCTGGACAGACGAGGCCCATGTGCTCAGCGTACACCAGAACCTGTACCTGCATCTAGTCAAGATGTTGCAACCCCATCTACTGCACCAGAAAACCCTCTCACTAACCAAGCGACTGTATCACAACATCGTGAGCCGAAGACACCCGAAGGAAGTATCCGTGGTACCCCAGCGTTTGTCCATCATACGCAAACTCAATCTTCGCCGCGTTCGCCCGAGATCCACGATCGCTTCACCTACCTGACACCCGACTCGGCATTCTACCGCGACGCGAATACTGTATACAGCAAGTTGGACGTTGAGCTTGAAAATGGTCAAGTGCACAACCAGATTAAGCCGTCATGTCGTGGTAAGACCGAGCCATTTCCGAGTTCGTGTGCGGCATCGGAAGCAACAACGGAGTGCGAAGAACTGAGTGGTCCTGTCGTCGAAGAACAAGTCCATGCACCCGACACCGACTATCTCTGTGATATAACCGAGCGACTCCTTGTCCAACAGAACAAAGGTCCAAACAAGCCAGAGCCACACGGACAACCGGATGTATGGGCAGATGGACGACAAGAGCTTTGCGAAACACTACATTACTATCGCGCATATCAAAGTGCCTGCTATTCTACCGGTGGCTTTGCGAGAGGCTTTATGTTCGACAAGGTTGCGCATAACCGAGACTACACGGACAGTAATGTCGTCCTTTCAAGAGCAGGGGGTGGTCTCATGAAGGACATAGACTCTGGTGAGATGAAGTCGAAAAGGGATCAATCAGAAGATTCTGCTGCTTTGGGATTGAGGAACTGTATGATCCATCGCAACCCAGTAGTCATTATTACTGGAGTTGACAACCCAAATATCCCATCGAAGCCACCGCACCAGTACTGTGTTCTGGGTTACTTCAAACCCACTCATGTCTGGGCTGAAAAGAGTGGTGACAGCAAGATTGTGCGATACCGATTCGAGAAGTTGAACACGAAGAAAGAGTCCTGGTGGCGGGCGAAGGATGCGCAGGAAGTGATAGAGCTCGGCTCACTACCATCTCCAGTCGAGAAGGTATGTGGAAGCTGCAATCTTCAGTCTCCACAGGTGTATCTAAACGGGTGGATGTGTCTACGGTCGACATGCACGGCTTTTTGGAAAATTCACACTAACACAGCTGAACCTGGAAGAAGTATGCCAGCACAGGAGCCCAAAGAAGCTTCCTTGGTATACGATCCGCGCTTCCTCAAGCAGAAGACACCTTGGCACAATGACGATCATGACTACCCTCTGGCATCTAATGCTGCTGAACTGTCTAGGCACGCTGTTCCAGGTGAGAATACATCAGTCGCATTTTGGTCTGGCATGGTCTGCCCGGACTGTGGACGCTGCACGTCCCGTTTGAACTGGACAAACTGGGAGTGCTCCAATACCGCATGTCGATATACAAGAACACCTCCACATACGCTCATTCCCGCGCTCTCCCTTCGTGACCCACTCTGGCCGATGACTAGTAGCTACACGTTGTCTAGAGATACGATGTCACTTATGCTTAAGTTAAAAGTGTCCTTTGAGCATGGGTATCGCATCAACCGCTATGAGATACCTGGAGTAGACGGTTTCATAACGCATATGGTTACTAACAAGACTGTTCTTGAAGAAGATGGCGGACCAGACGCGATGTTTGAGGAGCTCCAACAAACAGATATTGGGCTACAGCGCCGATCTATGCCTAATGGCCAGCTGAAGGGACCTAACTACTGCCGCCACTTCGCTGTCAACTACGGTATGCCGTACAAGTTCATCGCAGCTACAGCATCTCGCCCCTTTGATGGAGCAGCCCGCCCAATAGCAAGCACCCGTAGTCGATTGAACTGGGCCGCTAAACTGCTCCTAACAGAGGAGAATGGCAAGAGCATGGACAAAGTTCGCCAAGAGTGGCAAGAGAAGGAGTTCAATGAGGTCCTAGCCTTGGGATACTTCGAAGAGCAAAAGATCAATTACCATGACGATGGCGAGTTTGGCCTCGGCCCGACTATTGCGACATTGAGTTTGGGGGCACCAGGGACAATGCGGATCCGAATGAAAGCACGTCACTATCATGGCGTGTCTTCTGTCGCAAGTCTGTACGATGACGCTGCTCCAATCCCAGGGTGCCAACAATACGAGGCTCGTCTCGCACTTCAACCTGCTCTTGACGTCCTCAAAAGATCAGACACCAAGGCATGGAATGCGAGGAGGAAACAGATTCCCAAGCAATTGGGGCTCACTCACAGAGGCACTGCGAGAGATGTGCTGACCATGCAGCTCGGACATGGCGATATCGTCGTCATGCACGGTGCGGATGTACAGAAGTACTATGAGCATGCTGTTGAACATGCGGGTAAGCTGCGGTTTGCGCTTACATGCCGGTACATTGATCCCGAGTCGCTGAAGCCCGAGGACCAACCGAAGTACGTGGTTGGACCCGATGCAGAAGGATACGATGGATCAGGACTGATATGAGTGATGGGCAGCGTTGGAAAAGGAATATGATCATTGCGAGTTGCACGCGGACTAGAACAAAGTAAGAGTTAGAGAGGATTTTTGATAGGTGATCGTATCTGATGGACACCATGTCATTGTAATCATATCGAGGCGTGTATGATTTGCATTTCTATACACAATCCATACCGGGTATTTAACTTTTGTTTTGATGCACATCACTTCGTCTTTGTGTTGGACTTCATATCTCTTGCTTCCACTCCTTGTTGAACGCTCGTCCGATGACCATTCTCCTCACTTCACTTGTTCCAGCACCAATCTCGTACAACTTGGCGTCCCTAAGTATCCTTCCTACAGGAACTTCATTCATGTATCCCATGCCGCCCATCAGTTGGACCGCATCAGCCGCAACCTCGCTTGCCCTTTCTGCGGCATATAGAATCGCTCCCGCACAGTCCTGTGTCTTGATATCAGGGCTGGCATGCGACTCATCGACGGCGCGTGCCACGCTGTATGTGAAGGCTTGACTGGCGCGGTACTTTGTGTACATATCCGCCAACTTGCCCTGTACAAGCTGGTTGTGTGCAATTGGGGTGCCAAACTGCTTCCTTTGGTGTGTGTAGGGCAAGACGTTGTCGAGCGAGGCTTGCATGAGGCCGAGTGGTCCTGCGGAGAGGACAAGGCGCTCGAGATCCAAGCCCTCCATCAGGACGCGGACGCCGCGGTTTATCTCGCCGAGGACATTCTCCTTGGGGACGAAGACGTCTTCAAAGACCAGTTCGCCTGTGTTGGAGCCGCGCATGCCGAGTTTGTCTAGTTTGTTGGCGACGCTGAAACCCTTTGTGGAGGTCTCGACGATGAAGGCTGTGATGCCTTTGGAAGCGGCATTGGGTTCAGTCTTGGCGTATACGACTATTACGTGCGCGTCTGGGCCCTGTGAAGTTTGTATTAGTATGCGTATTCCTCTTCAGAAGACTTGTGACGAGGGACTCTTACATTCGTGATCCACATCTTGGTTCCATTGAGCAGATAGCCACCATCCACCTCCTTGGCCGTCGTCTTCATGCTGACTACATCACTGCCCGCGCTGTGCTCACTCATAGCCAATCCTCCGATGTTCTCTCCACTGATCAAGGCTGGCAAGTATTTCTTCTTCTGCTCCGCATTCCCGTTCAGCATCAACTGGTTGACACACAACTGGCTGTGCGCCGCATAACTCAGTCCTATGCTGCCGCTCGCCCGTGACAACTCCTCCATGACAACGCAGTGTGCTTGGTATCCCATGGCCAGTCCGCCAAACTCCTCGTCGGCTGTTATGCCCAGGAAGCCGGCCTCGCCAAACTTCTGCCACATTTCGTTGGGGAATTCATTCTGCTTGTCGGTACGCGCGGCGACTTCTTCGGGGATCTCTCGCTGGGCAAAGTCACGGACTGAATCGCGGAGCTCGTCGAGGTCGGATTGCGTGGGTGGTGTGAAGGCTTTGGGGTGCTTTGTCGATGCATACCGCGCGGTGGTGGAGAGGACGGTGGCGGGGCGGACGCGTGTTTGGCGGATACTGCGCGTGAAGAGGCGGGGGGCTAAGGACGTCATTGTGATTGCTATTTACTATGAAGATTGAGGAACTAAAAAAAAAAAGAGTTCGTGAACGAAGAAAGTGGTGGCATGTTTCGACAATACCCGTTCGGTTTGCGACGGCTGATGGACCGAGGCACCTTCCTAACTCATGGTATTGCGGAGAGGCTAGCGTCTGGGGAAGATGAAGCGGCCCAGTTCCGCTCTCCCGTCACACGCGTTGATGAACATGTACATTTTCAGCAACCCTTCAGAGCTCATCAACCTTCTTCATGCCCCGGCCGTTGCACTCTCCTACATCCAAGGCCACCAAAAATCTGCTCACGGCATTATACGCCGCGACCGTCGCCGTCAACTCGACAACCATGGTATCCTCCAGCACCGACTTGACCATCTCCGCAACCCCATCTTCCACTTGCACACCCACAGTCATCTGATCCGTGTATACCATGACCGTGTACTCCTCCTTGCTGAATCCCAACAGACCCTCCTTCTCCACTTCCCCATGTCTTGTGACAGGTAAATCAAACACAGTCTGTAGTACTTGTTTGGACACGCCCGCTTTCAAGGCTAGAGCGGCATGTACATCCCACTCATGAACTGCATGGTTCAGCACGGCAATACGGCTTATGGCCAGTTCCTTGAGATTGGCAGGTAAGCTGGTCTTGGTGCGTATCGCGCCGATGAACGAGTTCCAGCCGTCCGCTACGGCGGGGTTGTGTAGGAGGGCGAGGTCGAGAGGGATGAGGGGGCGGGGCTTTCGTCGCTCGGCGATGCGCTCGTAGATCGGACGAGCTTCTTCATTTGGGGGCTCGTTTGGGGCGTAAGGGACGCGCATCTTTGGTGAGGTTGTTGAAGCCAAGGTTCGTACGTGAATGCCGGATAGTATGGTACGAGGTTGAGAACGTACGAGGTTTGACAGAAATAGGCGGAGGAACATTGGAAGTTGGGAAACACAGGACAATCGAGAGATTTATATATCCACTCTATGCACATGCAGGGACTGTGACGGATATGCTTTCCGGTATCTGGCATAGCTAGATGCGCAGTACCTAAACTATGCGAAATATGAAATCAGAGATAGCCATTGTCCCAATCTCGTGAGAGTCAAGTCGTCAAAAGAGCACTTGATTATAGATTCATTCATGCCAAATTTTCCGCAAATCCCACTGTGAAATATTTACATATGCAACGCCGCCAAAAAATTATTTATTTTACAGCCTGCTCTGCTCGTCGAACACATTTGGTAGCCTGGGAATACCCTCCAACCTGGTCGTCTTCTTGCCTGCTGGTGCGAGGGTAACATTGTATGTCAAGTCGAGCTTCGCCTTGGGGTCTTTGCTGGGCTCGAAGTCTAGCAGCAGGTCGTCCTTGACCGCAAAGACGGTGTCATTGGTAACCCATTGGTCATCGCGGGGGTATAGTTGTGTGATGAGTGGCTTGTAGTTCTCGGCGGAAACCATGAGATGGATGTGTGCGGGACGGAAAGGGTGGCGGTCGAGGGTCTTGAAAAGTTGGCCAGCAGCGCCTGTTGAGTGTCAGTTGTGCTCGTATAAAGTCTTTGGAATTGAACATACCATCAGTAGGTAGCGAGTACGCCGTTGGCTTGTAGCAGTAGTACCAGTACTCGCCATTCTCGTTTGTAGTGAACTTTCCTCTCAGGTTGTTTGGTTCTTGGTTCTCTGGATCTTGGAAATCGTACTTTCCGTTGGCGCTTGCTTGCCAGATGTCGATGACTGCGTTGGGGATACCCTTCTTGGTGTCAAGATCCCTGACTACACCATGCATGAGAGTTGTCTCGCCATCGGGGTGTGGGTTGCGAATGATGGTGTCGCCAAGGTCGCGGAATGGCGAGTGTGGTGACCAGAAGGGGCCGAGGATTGTGGATGAAGTAGGTGTCTCTCCAGACTCGTTAATGTGCCTGTGTGCAATCTCGTCGACCAATCTATGGCGGAGTCAGTATGTTGATTGTGCTTGCTCGAGCTTGAAGACTTACGATTCTACGCCCAGAACATCTGAGATACGATGCGCCTCGTTCCTAGTGGAAGTTGTGGTCTTGCCAATAGAGTTGACGAATCGTACACCCTCGAACCACTCCTCGTTGGTAAGCTCGACCTCGCGGATGAAGTCATGGAGATGCCTGATCAGCTTTCCCATGACGAATCGTGTCCGCTCTGGAACATTTGGGCCAATGGCGTTGATGACGGCGTCGGTGAAGTTAGGATCGAAGCGATGCTGGCCATTCTCCTGAGGCTCAGGCGCTGTCTGTGTGTTTGGGTCCATCTTGAGTGTGTAGAGGATAGGGAAGATCAAACAACAAAAGGTATCAAGAAGGTGTTAGAGATGGAGTAGTGCAGTTAGACATCAAAGTCCGGGGCACGAGCAGCTTAATAAATAGTAGCTGAAATCCAGCCGGCCGTAGCCAACCGAACTGGTGCCGTTTGCAATGGCCGTCCCTCTAGCTGCGCATCAGGCGAGACTTTGTCCAAACCGTCTGGCGGCATGCTGTACCGGCTTTCAAGCGTGCTGTGAGCGCGAACAGCCACAGTGCCGAAGGTTGCGCCATGTCGCGACGGTTGCCCCGCCTTGACCTGAGCGGATTGGCGAATCAAAGGGCAGCCGATGTGGAAGAAGACTTATCCGCCCTTTTTCCCTCAGATCTAGCGTCATCTGCACTAATGCCCCGCCCTCGGAGGGGGACCCCGGAAGTTTGACGACGCGACGCGATGGCCGACTTACTGAGAGGTGGAGGGCAGATCCGGCAGACATTTTGTCCTGTAGTTTCCCACGCAATTTGTTCGCCAACGGGGAAGACACGTCCTGTAGAAAGAAGGAACCGCCAACATGGTCAAGCATCATCTCATGATCGGCACTTGGACGCCGCCGGGTGTGATAATCACGGTCGCGTTTGACGATGAGACACTCAAATTGGAGCTGGTGAAGAAGACGGAGATTCCAGAAGATGAGCCCATAAGCTGGATGGCTTTCGACGTATGCGCGCAACTCCCGAACATCGATGCAACCAACAATGGCTGATCACCAGAAATACAGCACAAGAGGAAGAACATCTACGGTGCTTCGATGAAGAAATGGAGTTCGCATGAAGTCAAGAGCCCGAGCGAGATTGTACATACTGGAAGCTTTCCCATGGGCGGACACCGTAAGCGACACAGCATGAGCATCGCATGTCACTACTGACAACCTTCGCAGCCAGAGCAAATGATGCCGACACGAAGACGCGTGCCATCTTTCTCCTTCCCGCCCAGAAGCCTCCATACGCTGTATACTGCAATCCATTCTACGACTTCGCTGGCTACGGCAACATCTTCTCCGTCAACCCTTCAGGACACATCAAAGAGAACATCCAGAATTTCGAGTACTGCGACAAGACTGCGATCCACGGCATGGTCTTCGATCCCTCCGAAACTTACCTCTACAGCGCGGACATGTGGGCGAACCGAGTATGGTGTCACAAGAAGATAGACGACGAGGGTAGACTGGAAACAGTAGGCTTCACTGAGGCTCCGGCGTCGAAAGACCATCCAAGATGGGTAGAGATGCATCCGTCAGGAAACTACCTCTATGCCTTGATGGAGGCAGGAAATCGGTTGTGCGAGTATGTGATTGACCCGCAGACGAAGCTGCCTGTCTACACACACAAGACGTACCCGTTGATCCCGCCTGGTAAGCCGTTTCTCTACCCATGATCACCCCAAAAGCTAAATGACTATCTCAGGTATCCCCAATGCAAACACCATGTACCGCTCGGACGTTTGTTTCCTCACCAAATCCTCAAACTACCTGTTCGCGACTTCCCGATCCAACTCCTTTTCTCTCACTGGTTACATTGCCGCCTTTCAGATCGCTCCATCGGGCGCCATTGAGCGACAAATCTGCCTCAACCCTACACCGACCTCTGGTGGTCACTCAAACGCTGTATCACCATGTCCGTGGTCGGATGAGTGGTTGGCGCTTACAGACGATGAGAAGGGCGGAGTGGAAATATATAGGTGGCACGATGAATTTTTGGCACGAGTTGCGAGGTTAGAGATTGGCGAGAAGGGCTTTGGCATGAATGCGATTTGGTATGACTAAGTTGATGTAGGCAAGAAACACATTTTCCAATGAAAGATGTTTTTAGATAGAATTAAGTGCACCGGCAGCTCGAGTTTCTCAAAGTCATACACTTGAAATAGCTATAGTAGGAGCGAGTACTACTAATCCTCCACGTCCCGAAACATAGCGTGGAAGGGGCGGGTCTATGTTCAGCCTCGGAAGAATGAGGGGCAGCGGTACCGCCGTCGTCCGAACTAACGCCAGCCGGCAAATGTCATCGGGGGACCTCTTCTTTCCCCAACTTCGTCATGGTTCGCACGCGGGATTTGGAGTAGCATAGTTGCATTAATCGAATCCATATACCTTCCATCCTCTTGCGTTTCTTCACCTGTTTACCTACTGCTTGCAACACTCATACTGAAGTCACAGCTACCCCACTGCAACAGACATCATGGCATCCAAATCAACGCCAGGCATCTTGTACGTGACGATGCAACCCAAGGAGGGCTTGCCTGAAGCACAGTTCCATGATTGGTAAGTTGACCCTCCATAGCCGCATTCTTGCTTCTTCGCGATCCCACCTGACGCTCTTCCCACCAAGGTACCAAAACGAACACGGCCCTAACCGTCTCCGCCTGCCCTTCTGCAACAACGGTTTCCGCTACCGCGCCACCGACCTCGAGAATGCATCCGGCTCCAAAGACAAACCAGAATGGATGGCCATTTACGATTTCGACGAGCTCGAATGGCTCACGAGGGAACCGTACACGAAGCTCCGGAGCGCACCGGTGCAGACGCAACGTGAACGAGATACCATGAAGCAGATATTCGTGGACAGACGGTCGTACGACTTACTCGGCGAATGGAAAGGCGAGGACTTCAAGGACCTGCAGAAAGTAGAAAACGAGGGAGAGAAGAACGTGATGATAGCCGTAAGCTTTGCGCTACAAGACGGCGCGGACAAGGAAGAAGAGCTGAAGAAGTGGTATCACGAGGAGCATGTACCGCTCCTGCAGAAAGTCCCAGGCTGGAGGCGGACCAGGAGGTTTGTTACATCCTACCTAGATCTCGAAAGCGGACACAAGTCGGAGAAAGAGTTCCTTGCGCTGCATGAGTATGCGCCGCAGAATGGACTAGGAGGGCCCGAGTTTAAGGCTGCTACCACAACAGATTGGTGCGACAAGATCTACAAAGATGTTGTGAAAGAAAGGAAGAGGAGGGTTTATGACTTGTACTATACGTTTGGGGCTGCGCAGCGCAACCTACAAAGTCTGACAAGCAAAGACACGGCACCAGTGGAGAGTACAGAGGGCAAGGTCAAGACATACCCAGCGCACACGACGTCAGAAAAGCGACCAGTAATTGAGAGCTTCATCACAACGAAGGATGGTGTGGAACTCCAGTACCGCCTCGAAGGCTCTAGCGATCCCAATGCGCCTCTACTCGTTCTCTCAAACAGTATCCTCGTCGATTATGGCATTTGGGACGATTTTGTCGCAGAGTTCTCAAAAGCCACAAACAACAAGTACCGCATCCTCCGATACAGCACTCGTGGACGTCATACACTTCCGTCAAGCTCTACATCACCCATCTCAGTTCACACCCTCACAGACGACGTCATCGCACTGCTCGACGCCCTCCGCGTTAAGAAAGCATCTATCGTCGGTGTCTCTCTTGGCGGCGCAACAGCACTCAACGCAGGTCTCTCCTACCCAGACCGTATCTCAGCGTTCGTAGGCTGCGACACCAATGCCTTCGCCCCACCTTCCAATGCGAATGCCTGGAACGAGCGTGTCGGCGTCGCTGAGAAAGAAGGCCAAAAGGCCGCATCTGGCGAACCCATTGTTGGCGAAGAACTCGCAGAGGTGACAGTCCGCCGCTGGTTCGTCAAGGAATCTTACGACGATGCGGAGCTAGCGAAGAAGATTCAACGTGTCAAGGACATGGTCAAGACGAATTCTCTACCTGGTTTCCGCGATTCTGTCAAGGCGCTGCATCAGTATGACATCAGGGAGAAGATGGCTGGGTACAAGGGCAAGGGCGCGTTCTTGGTAGGTGCTGGCGATGGTGTGCTGCCTAAAACCATGAAGGAGAACATGGCGGATAAGCTTGGTAGTGGTGTTGAACTGAAGATTATTGATGGTGCGGGACATTTGCCCATGGTAGAGAGGCCTACAGAGGTTGCGCAATTTGTTGCGAAGTTTCTAGAGGGTTAGGATCATGTTGTTTCTGTGCTCCGAGGTAGTTTGTTATTAAGAACGGCCTTCCTTGCGAGACAAGGGGCCTTGTTGAGATGAGCGATAGGAAGTTTCTCAATTGAGTAAATTTTGCGGGGTCGGTTTGATGACTGCAGATGTTGTACTCCAATGCAGACTACCTAGGTACAGTACATGCAGTGCGTCAGGAGTGGTTACACAGCATTGGGTGATAAGCGATCGATGGTCAACGTAGAAGTTACTTACTGGATATGGTGTTTTCCTTCTGCTACAAAACATCCGTCAATCCAGATTGTTTGGATCCGCGGCTCTTTGAGTGACGAAGAAAACCGCGAAGCTGTACATGACTCTTCCTAGGGATATCGAAGCACCAGTCGAAAGAAGTATTTATTAGGAGGGATCATCCTAGTTCATAAGAATTCATGGCATGGATTCAACTGGAAGTACGGTAAGTTGCCGGACGCGCGGTGGAAGGTGTTTCCTTATTATCGCGTCTTTGAATGGTATTTTATGGTATCATCTTTCGCGTAACATGCTTATTATAATTAGTAAATGATCCCAAAGACCGATCATGCTTAGGTACCTTCTTCAGCTTTCAGTAAACCACTCACTCTCCCCAACTACATTCTATCCTCGGTCCTCTCTCCCATCTACCCAGCTGGTACAGTTAACACACCTCTTCGCCTTCTCACTGATGTACTTTCTACAGAACTTGCACTTGACCTGCTTCTTCACAATATTATCCCCACTACCCCTCGAATATGCCAGCGCGATGACCCAAAGTGCCAACGCAATCGCTAGAAACCTAATAATTTTATCTAAGAAATCCCCATAAGCCAGTACCACAGCACCGTCGTCGATGGCTTGCTTAGGCGTGTTGTAGCCATTGGAGATGGAGACATTGTAGTTGGGCCCGGATTGCAGTATGGCGAATTTGGAGTCGAGGTTGCGAGAGAGGAAAGGGAGGAGGGAGATTATGGGTAGTATTATGGAGGAGACGAGAGAGTTTGC